ACATCGCCACTAGAGAGACAAAGGCGGCCGGGGGTTGTATTGGCCATCCACCCCTCGTGTGCCGTGCCGGCCTTTATAGGTGCTCGCTAAAATCACTTTCTCCTACAGTCTGTTAAGGCTATACGGGGGATCTTTGTCTTTGATGATGATGATGGTATTGGTAATGGTTGTGGTGGTGTTGGAGGTGGTAATGATGGTTGTGGTGGTGATGGTGATGATGGTTGTGGTGGTGGTAGAGGTGGTGATGATGGTTGTGGTGGTGATGATGGTTGTAGTGGTGGTGGTGATGGTGGTGATGGTTGTGGTGGTGATGATGATGATGGTTGTGGTGGTGGTGATGGTGATGATAGTTGTAGTGGTGATGATGGTTGTGGTGGTGGTGATGATGGTTGTGGTGGTGTTGGAGGTGGTGATGATGGTTGTGGTGGTGGTCGATGCGTGCCCCTGAATTGCAGCTGACGCGGTAGCGGAGTGGTTGCGCGCCGTGGTTGATGGGAGAGAAGCGTCGCTGTCGACGCGTCGCTGTCACAGTCCCCTGGTACAAAATGTACACCGACCACTGCACCCCCACCACCCCAGACCTTCAGGCCACGCTTCCACCCCCCGTATGAAAGACGCCGTGCCAACCGATTATGCACAACCCCTGCCAAGTCACATCCTTCCCCCTCCCACTCCCCCTCCCCGTGGCCAGAACATTGCTCCCTGGACAGAATCTCCCATCTTCTTCTTCTCCACTCACTCTGCTGTCCGGATACTGAACTGCCTCCCTGATGAACGCATTGTCGGCCAAATCACCCACTCACGTCGCCCAGGCCTTAAAATGCCCCGAGCTCACACACGGGACATTTCCTGACTTCCCCACGCGCCTTGTAGGTGAGCCGAGTCTTTGAGCTGCAGCGAACCCAATGATCGTGCCGCTTTAGATGTACTGCTGCCTGACGATGGCTCTTGTTCACAATTGCACCCAATTTCTATATTTAAAAACAACACATCGGGACGTCGTATTGAATGTCAATGAAGGAGATGGGCTTGAGAGATGGCCCAGCGTATAAGGAGCCAGGGAAATTTGAAAGGCGCTCCGATGGGTTCTAGATGTGCGGAGCGAGCTGGTGATTCAACTGATGCTTGCGTCCGGGTTGGATTCCAGCCAGCCGCTCACTACGGGACATCTGCGACAAAGAGCCTCATAGCTCATCGGATTTCTCCGGTATAGAATGCAATATTGCGATTCTGAGCGTCAGTGACTGCCTCCTGACACACGGTGGGCGAATGCTTGCTGATAACGGCGTCACCAGAGGTATGTGAGAGGTCTTTAACGTCCATTATCACAGCAGACGGGTGTTCGCTTTGGTAGCATCTGCGTGAATGTTCGTAGTGCGGTTGTGTCTTCGCTAATCTTCATAAGGAGGGCACTTTCGCCGAGACGACATCGTCAGTGCGTGTGAGGGGGCTGCCACACATTTGAAACCATTGGGAGGGTTTTGACAGCAGCGCGACGATGATTACGACGACGATGGCGGCGATGGCGGTGAGGGTGCCAAGCCACAACATTTTTACAATCTTGAGGATGACGTTTTACTCTCAGCGTGACCTCGCTCCCCCCTGGCCACGCCTCCTCTCTAGAACCTACTAGCAGGTTCCTGAGGGTTCCCGGTGGGCTCCCCTCTGTGGACTTTCACCGAGATTTCCCCTTCTAGTGTCCATCATGGCCTGCTGACTTCAATACTGCCGTACACCGCAGTTCCCATTTTTTGCCAGCAGCCAGCACGAGTAGCCAAAGTAGCTGCATAAGTAGTAGCTACGGGCCCCGCACTTTCAAGGGCCCCGCGCTAAATGCTTTCAAGATATCAATTCCGGTTCAGTGATTCTGCACTTGCTCTAATACTATAGTACTATACCACCTTCGATTTTTACGAACGACTGGGTGTTTAAGGTTAGCGATTTGTCGTATTATCTGGCTGTATAGCAAATGAAAAATACAATTACTTTGCCATGCAAGTTAAAATTTGTGTTTTAATATTTATGCGTTTTTTTTTTATTTAGGGCCCCTATAAAACATATGCTACAGGCCCCGCACTAGCTTAATCCGGCACTGGCCAGACGGGAAGGCCGCCACCACCACCACCGCTGGCCCCCTCCAGCGTAGGGGGGGGGGGGGGGGGGGTCGGGACGCGGCGCACTAACTACACCACCCCGTAAGGAAGAAAAAACTAAATGTTACAGAAAACGACAATGGACTTAGGTCCCACAGGGGGTGAGGAGTAGTGCGCCGTGAGCGTCACCGAGCAACACACTTTGTGTTGATTGGGCCCTGCCTGTTGTTGTGTTGTCATACCTGTCAACTCCTTATCAGTGCCCTTACCTTATTAGGGACCAATTTAGACCGTATTGGTCACCCCATGCCCCTTATAATTACCAACGTTCATCCTACAAAGTCACTATACACTACACTACTATACACTACACTATACATTTCACTATACACTACACTAATACACACTACACTATACACTACACTACTATACACTACACTATACACTACACTAATACACACTACACTACTACACACTACACTACTATACACTACACTTCTATACCATACCTGTGAACCCCTTATCAGTGCCCTACCTTATTGCATTTATATATTTACGCGACCTAACCCAAAAACCTCTATTATGGATTATATCAGACCTTATTGGTCACCGCATGCCACTTATAAATCTCAACGTTCATCCTTACAAAGTCCCATCGCAAGGGAGAAACACAAACAAATAGACAAAAAAAGTGTTTTTAATCGCGCGGTGCCGGATAATGTGTGATCAACTCACTACAGAATCAATCAGAGCGAGTGAGTCCTCCACAGTGGCAGCGACTCAAAACGGCATCATAGGCGGCATCGTGGCGCCATCTGCTGGCAAGACGTGCTTATGGATTTCATGGAAACGACTCTCTCCAAAATGGCCTAATTCCACGTGAACATTGAACTTAATGCCATGTTAACATTGACCTAAATGCCACATTAACATTGACCTAAACGGCACATTACAATTAAACGTATTGCCATATTAACATTGAACTAAATGCCACATTAACACTGAACGAAATGCTACATGAACATTGAACTAAATGGCACATTAACATTGAACTAAATGGCACATTAACATTGACCTAAATGGCACATTAATATTGAACTAAATGCTACGTTAACATTAACCTAAATGGCACATTAACATTGACCTAAATGGCACATTACCGCTGAACTAAATGGCGCATTAACATTAACTAAATTCCACATTAACACTCAACTAAATTCCACATTAAAATTAAACTTATTGCCATATTAACATTGAACTAAATGCCACATTAACATTGAACTCAATGCCACATGAATATTTAACGAAATGCCACATTAATATTCGCACTGCTGTCGTCAGATTTCTCATCAAGTCCCACGCTGGATTGATGACGCCACCCTGCTGGGCTCAACACTGCATTATGCCACTCTGTTTGGGACGCCACGGTGGCTAGGAGATGTTAACTACCTCCCTTGGTATGCAGTAGGTCGTGGGTTCGATCCCTACCCTGACGACGCCTGCTGCTGTATATTTGGAGTCTGCGTGTCTCTCTCTCATCATCATCACGGTGGCTCGGAGACGTTAACTACCTCGCCAGGTATGCAGGAGGATCGTGGGTTCGATCCCGACACTGATGATGCATGCTGCCTATTTGAAGTTTGTGTGTATCTCTCTCATCATCATCACGGTGGCTAGGAAATGTTAACTACCTCGCCTAGATTTCGATTTAAAGCTTTCGTGACTGCAGGGATTCATCTTCTTGGTTCTTTCGGTAAAGTCACGTAGAAGGGAAGTAATAAAATAATAAAAATAAAATAGTATACAGGATGTCGTGGGTTCGATCCCGACCCTGACGATGCCTGCTGTATATTTGGAGTCTGTGTGCGTGTCTCTCTCTCTCTCATCATCATCACGGTGGCTAGGAGATATTAACTACCATGCCTGGTATACAGGAGGTCGTGGGTTCGATCCAGACCCTGACGATGCCTGCTGTCTATTTGGAGTTTGTGTGTATCTCTCTCATCATCATCACGGTGGCTAGGAGATGTTAACTACCTCGCCTGGTATACAGGAGGTCGTGGGTTCAATCCCGACCCCCGACGATGCCTGCTGTCTATTTGGAGTTTGTGTGTATCTCTCTCATCATCATCACGGTGGCTAGGAGATGTTAACTACCTCGCCTGGTATACAGGAGGTCGTGGGTTCAATCCCGACCCCCGACGATGCCTGCTGTCTATTTGGAGTTTGTGTGTATCTCTCTCATCATCATCACGGTGGCTAGGAGATGTTAACTACCTCGCCAGGTATACAGGAGGGCGTGGGTTCGATCCCGACCCTGACGATGCCTGCTGCTGTATATTTGGAGTTTGTGTTTCTCTCTCCCCGTGGTCGCGTGGACCTCCGGGTTCTCCGGCTTTTCCCTCCACATTTAAAATCAACAACACGAGTTGAGAGTGTTTGTATGCTGTCAACTTCCACGTGATGATGATGGTGGTGATGATGGTGGTAATGACAAGCCACTACGTTGAGCTCATCGTTTGTGATAGCCAGGTCGGTTCTGAAAGAAAAGACTTGCTGCATAGCAACTTAGTGGGGGGCCTTACCTGGTGAAATAAATAATAGATGGGTTTTTACAAACTCTTTGGTTATTTCGGTAAAGTCACGCAGGTAAAATAATAATAATAATGAATCAATAATAATAATACATAAAACAACCGAAAGAACCAAAGAGTATGGATTCCTGCAGTCAAATCAAGTTTTTTTCTTTTTACACATTTCCCTGCCCCCCCCCCCCACACGCACGACGCTGAATGGACTCGCCCGTCACGATCACCACCCACCCCCCCACACTCTCACACCACATGGACCGGCCCTGCCCCCCCCCCGGCACGACCTTCAAGGCTCAGCTTAACAACCCAAACAGCCTCGTGCAATTCCCGTGCAATCGCCCCCATCGAGGGCAATCGATTGCGTCAGCGCAGACAGCGCCGCGCAAACGCGAAACAAACTCCACACGGCCTGTCGCGCTCGCACCGGATGAATCTGATGAGCTCTAAAGCTCTTCATCTCTCTCTCACAGATGTTCAATTGAACCACCACTGGCTCGCAACGACCACCACCCCATCGCCAACGCGTCCACCACCACAACAACCTTGCACCACCACCACCGCCAATGTGCGAGGATTTCTGTTGGTCGACGGGCAAGCTGGAGGAGATGGTTGAGCTGTACCGGGGCAGCCCGTGCCTCTACGACGCGTTGCTGCCCGACTACCACGTGAAGTGGAAGAGGAAACGGGCTCTGCGGGAAATGGCGCAACGACTCGGCACCACCGGTACGTGCCCGTCCATAAATGACGTCACGCACCTAGGGGGGTGGGTGGGTGGGGTCAGACATTTGTGACGATGTGTGACGAGGGGGGTGGGAAGGGGGTTGAGGAATGTGACGTCACATCAAAATGCGCAGCTTTAAATAAATATAAACACGTTCTACTGAATTAAATATACTTTTTAATAAATGTTTCCTCCTACAACATCAGAGTGCAGCGCCACATTAAATACGCACTACAATGACAATAGTTTAAAGCGATTTGAAGCATTTTTTATTTTTTGGAAGGTGGGGAGCAGAGCTTTGTGACGTCATATTTGAGGGGGGGGGGTCTTGCATTTTGTGACGAGGGGGGGGGGCAGAGCTTTGTGACGTCATATTTGAGGGGGGGGGGTCTGGGTTTTTGTGACGCCGTGTGACGAGGGGGGGGGGGTCAAAAATCGTCCAAAATCGCGTGACGTCATTTATGGACGGCCCCTTACACGTGTGTTATACAGGGTGCTTCAAAACAAATGTGTAACACTTATAGGGGACTGTCGTTTTTAATGGGGGCGGGGGGGAAGAACGGATGATAAACGATACACCGTGACATGATAACAAATGTATGTTAATAGATTTTAAAATCAGTAATGTTTTAAAATACTTTTTTTTAAACACGCTTTAATTAAATGTACTAGTAATGGAAGAACTCCACGACTCCAGGAAGTGGCCCCGAAGCTCGCCACAACGTAAGGGACCGAGGGCAATTATCATCGATGGGACGATCGTTAGTTTTCGTTCTAAGTTGAAAGAGTAACAATCGAAATCGTCCGTTGTGCTTCATTTTAAGTGATTTATGCGATCAGTGACTTTGTGAATTTTTATTTACGAATCTGTACGATGGCAGAGACACTTAAACACAATTTATACCCTTATATTTGTGTTTTTTGGCATAGAGATCTGCGGCAAATTACTATTTTTGGATTATCTGCATTTTGTAAATTATCCATGGCCGTTCTCACCGTCATTAGCGCAGATAATCGAGAGTCTACTATATAAAATAGTTTTATCACGGCCTCTTGCCACCTAAATGTTCCACTCTCCACAGCTGAAAAAGGCTGGAACGTTCACCGACAAAACCTCCAACAATACTCTTGTAAATGCTTACCCCGAGCTCTCATACTCTGATGGTGCATTGTCTTTGAGTTGTGCGCCTTTGGGCGTCATCTGGTCCAACCCATGTGAGACTAGGCTCTAAGGAAAGCTGTCTCGGATGTGGACCAATCAACTTCAAGGACAGTGCACACATTATCAGAGTTATGTTTTTTGTTTGCATTATGACTGCAGATATTGTGGTCTATGCAAACATGACTCCTTGTTAAAAAAAGGTGTCAGTTTTGTTGCCAATTAGAAGGGTAAAAAAACAATTATTATAATACTTCTAGGTTTTTCGGTAAAGTCACGTAGGTAAAAAATAAGAAAAATAATAGAAATAATAATAGAAATAAAATAATAAATCACGACCTTGAGACAGTAAATCTAGCTGTGACGGTCCCACCTGATGACGGAGACTTGTGTTGCCTCCGAAACGTCGTGATTTATTATTTTATTTCTATTATTATTTAAAATATTTATCATTTATTTTTTCCCTCCGTGACCTTACCGAAAAACCTAAGAGTATGAATCCTTGCAGTCACGAAAGCTTCAAATCTAGAACCTCCAACAATATTTTTCTTGACCAGTCTATAGACAATGTTTTTTCTGTTACTCTTTTTTTGTCTTGACAGAGGACGAAGTCTCGAGAAAGATCAGAAACCTCCGCACAGTCTACTCTAAGAAGAAGAGAGAGGGCAAAATCAGGCGTGGCGGAGACGCCGGCTGCGACGCGTCCAGGCAGACCTGGTGGCTACTGCCGCGTCTGGAATTCCTTGACGACTTTGTCTGCCCCAAGAAGACCATCTCCAATGTCTCCTCCTCCTCCAGCTTGCAGGTATGACACGCGCGCGTTCTCTCCATCGTGCCGAAAGCGGTGGTTGTAACTGCATGTGAACCGGTTGGGCGATGTGTAGCCACTTATCTTCGTCGTAATTCCGCTGCTGGATGACGGCCTACCCAAGCCACCGCTGTGTGCGACGACGTGTGATGTGACGATTCATCGCGCACCCTGCCACACGAGCTAACATCACCTTCCATGGTGATTGCCATATTGGCAGTGCTATTCGCCTGTAACGAGATGGACATCGTAGGTAAGGCTTAGGTACAACTACTCCTTACCCTAACCCCAATCACAAACTTTAAAATCATGATCCAAACGTGTAATCCCAAACGCTAGCCCTACCCTTCCTTCAATTTAGAACCCCAACCATTAACCTTAACCCGTAAATGCTAACCACGATAACCCGCCAAACCCTATAACCCCACGCAAAATTAAAAGAAAAGCGGCATCCCAGGAGGAATTGTGATTGCACGAAAAATATCATCTCCACTCGGGACAGGAATCTGTGGGGACAGCAGTCACATCCAATAGTTACATGTGACTGCTGCGTAGGTTATCGCGGCTCTGCTGTGTCGCTCTCCATGTGTTTTTGGGTTGTACCACGTGCTGTTGTTGAATACAGTAGTCCCTCGCTTGACAGCGACATCGGTTCACGGTTTTTCGGTGAACGTTTTGCCTCCCATAGAGGACCCCGTGGTTTCGACTGACGTTAACATTTTTGACTAACAGTAACGTATTCTTGGTTCTTTCGGTAAAGCCACGTAGAAGGGAAATAATTAAATAATAGAAATATAAAACAATACAAAATTCTCACGACGTTTCAACTGCAACACAAGCAATCATCATCAGGTGTGAAATCCACAGCAAGAAAAAAAACGTCGTGAGAATTTTTTTTTGTTTTATATTATTTTATTATTTCCCTTCTACGTGACTTTACCGAAAGAACCAATAATTAGAATCCCTGCAGTCACGAAAGCTTTAAATCTAAATTTAACAGTAACGTGTTTATGTTATGCACGCGGGCACCAATTTTGTAAGAAGGGGCTAAACCATACCCTCAGCAAATCAGCGACGCCCATCCCTGAGCAGTTTAGACTTCGACTGGCTTTGTTTACATTACGTTTCATGTCTTTGTGGTAGTGGAAAAACATCTCGCAGACTCGGTGATTATTTTACTTACTTTTCAAATTATAAGTGAATTCTATAAACAGTTATTCCGATAAACGGCATTTTTAGTGGAATGGGTTAAAAAACGTTAATTGAGGGACTGCTGCAGTTGAGTTTTATATCACGGTGTCGTGCATGAAAATTGCATCTCACAATGGCTGAGGAACCAGAGGCTAGCCGTAAGGCAGCCAGGCAGTGAGCTGGCACCCACAGTTGCCCAAACTCTGCGGTCCTCTATAGATTACGATGTTTTCAGCCAATTAATCGATGTCCATACATGTGGTAACTGAAAGAATCTCCCAGCCCTTGGAACGAGACGTCAAACCTCAAAATCTGCTCGATGTGGTACAGCTCAAATCGTACGTCGGAGAGTGGCACGTGAACGCTATTGCTGTGTATGTTTTTCACAATCGCTGGCCACTGCGGTGGATTAAATGTTCCCCTCGCAGGTGGAACGCGTCGACGACCAGAGCAGTCACGACGGGGGGGAGCAGAAACGGGACAGGGATGGAGCTGACCCACCAACCCCTTCCGCAAACATCACGGACATCACACACTCCATGGACACCTCCACGCACAGCCCTGAATGTACACCCCGGAGGCCACAATTTCCAAAGCCGATGTGCAGAGACAAAGGGAACGCCGTCGCAGCAGGAGGCAGTCAGCTGATGGAATCGGCCATGAGGTGCGTGGAGGCGCACTCCGCCCGGCTGATGAGGGAGGACGACGAACACGATGTGTTTGGTCGCTTCGTCGCCAACGAGCTACGCTCCCTGCCAGACACTGAGCGCAGGCGTTTGAAATACAAACTCCTTGCTGCACTTCGAGATGCGCAGTCCCCCGCAGCACCGCGGATAAGTGCCTCCTACGCGGGGCACGCCGCCAACGCGACCCGGTCACCCACACCGAGCTCACCGTGAATATCGTCATCCTCGTCGTCATTGGCCACGACCAATCCACTGCTGGATGATAGGCCCCCCCCCCCCCCCCCACAAGCTCTCGCCATCTCTCACGAGTCCGCGATGTGCACGATGGCAGCAAATATATTCAGGAGCTCGATGCCAGATGTCGAGGTCTGTTCGCCACGAGAGGTTTTCAGGAGGGGTTTGTGGTTTTGCTGTTCCTCCTCCGTTGAAAGAGCGCAGTCTACAATGTGGTACTTTGTAGCCCCGACCGCACTCCTGTGGCTTGTCTTTCATTCTCCATCTATGAAGGAGATGTGTGCATTGGCCTGTTGATGTCGTGATGCGGTTCATGTTTCCATCGGTGTCTTCCAGGAATGTCAAATCCAGGAGGTGCGTGATGTTTGGGTCTCGAATGAGGAGGTGTTTATTCTGGACATCCACGTTGTTCCACTCTGTTCGCCAGCGGTATACCAGGAGAGGATAACATCATGCCACCATGGCGCTCCTTAAATAAATGAATAAATTATCTTATGTCTATATATTAATCACACTCAGCTAGTTGGGCTCATAGTCAACCGAGTTTGTGTTTTTGCTCCTGTTTAACGTTCACAGTTTTACCGTTTGAAATGTGCTGCAATGTTCAGTTCTCCATTTGCCGTTAGTGTTGTGAATGAAGATGTATTATTGCACAGGAAGAAATTGGTCTTGTGCGTGGGTGTGTGTTTAAATGCACTGTCTGATCTATTCTCAGAGGCATCTTTGCACGGAACGGAAGAGTGGTTCAGTTGGAAGTCGCTCATTCTACTCTGCCTGTCCCCTATCATACCGTGTCAGCCCATACTGTTTACCCGTATTCTTGTACAGGGAAATTGAGTTTCCAGGTCCATACGGCATACAGCCGTTTAAATATAGGCAAAAAAAGGTATTTGTGTTTCCCCCATGTGATGGGATATTTGTAGGATGAAAATTTAGATTTATAAGGGCACAGGGTGACCAACAAGGTCTGAATTGGTCTGAAATAAGGTATGACCTATGGTCTAGCCCAGTGTTCTTCACTAATTTTCAGAGGATGGGTGGCGACTTTCGCTGATAAAACATCAGCAGTGTCAGGGGTTCGCCACATATGAAACCATTGGGGGTTTGTGACAGCAGAAGGATGATGATGATGATGGGGGTGTTTCCACTATGTGTATTGTCGGGGAGGGGGGGGTGGCGCACGTCAGGGGCCGCACTAAAGGCCACCAGGGGCCGCCAGTGGCCTGTGGGCCTTGCGATGAGGAACTTCTGTTAAGATGTTCAAATACCAAAAAGAGAGGGTAAAACCTATTCTTATTTTTCATACTTTGATACTGGCAAAAAAGTTCCCATTATATAGCTGCTCACCCCGAGCTATAAATGCCCTCATAGTGCATTGGCTTTGTACTGTTCGTCTTTTGGCGTTCTCTGGTCTGACACTGGTGGTGTGACTAGGCCCTAAAGAAGGCTGCTGTCTCTGGTATAGGCCAATCAGTTTAACAGACAATGCCAAATATTATCAGTGCATATTTATTTGAATGTTTTTGCCACAAGTATGCCTCCATAATACAGTTTTTTTTGGGTTAGATCGCGTAAATATATAAATGTGTCATTAAACCCGCCGCCATCCGACACAGCCAATTAGTAAGGTTTGTCACGTAAATAGAACGTGGCAATTCGTCACTAGTACAGCACACTGGTGTGTTGGAGAGCTAAGGCGGGTTTAACGACATTTATGCGATCTAACCCAAAAAAACTATGATGGATATTGGTTGTGAAAGCCGACGTGTTAAACCATCTTAATGCCTTTTGTATTGCCAGAAAAGGTAAACCCTATTATTTTTCATACTTTTGTAGAGACACACTTAGATGTCTCTGTGGGTCGCGCCAGCCACAGTGCTGGAGGGGCGCCGAGCGCCGGGTGCCTCGATTGGACGAGCTAAGGGCACGTAACCAGAAGCGGTGCCTCGATTGGAGGAGTTAAGGACACGTGGCCAGAAGCGAGGCGCGCTGGTTTTGATACAGAAAGGGGCGGAGCCGGGACCAAGGGATAAAGGGTGAGCGCCGGGGGATTCGGGACTCGTTTGGGGGATCAAGCTAGCTAACACACATGCACATAGTGAGCAGCCTAGGACAAGTTAGCCACACTTAGCAACAGAATCCGGTGTACAGTGAATTGTTTAATAAACACGTTGTCTCCTACAACAGTGTGTGTGCGCCTCAGTCGACATACACTACACTGGCGTCAGAAGTGGTTTGTTAGTTAGGTGTAGCTAGCTTACGTAAAGACTTGGCAATTATGCTCACTAGGTGACGAGTGCTCACCCAGTCGTCTTCGGACGACGACGAAGAGGGCGAGTTGATCACGCAAGCGACCCCGGGTGCTGAAGCCCCAGTGATGGAGGGTGGCGAAGTGTGGAGGCCGGCTTGGCAGCGGGAACCGGAATCCATCTCACCGCCACCGCCAAGGAATGAACGCCGGTGCTGCTCTAGCAGCTGCCCTGCTGGAGGACGATGCGCGGGAAACGGGTGTGGCGTGGGACGTGTGGGAGCCCGCCAATTCTCCCAATGCCCACACTGCTTTCGCCGTCGCCCCGCGAACATGGGACGACTGCGAGACGCCGACGCCGCAGCCACGGGGTTCTGGCCGTTTTCCGCGCACTTAAGAGGTGGGGGGCGAGGGGTGGCCCAAACGCCCCGTGCAGTTGACGGCCCTGGGCTGCCGTATTGTGGCGGCAGCAGCGGGTTTGTCCGCGGTCATAGGGACGGTTGAAGGCGTTGACGTACGCGTCGTCCTTATTGGCACCGGTGCGTCGGCGACCATCATCTCGGACATGGTTTTTGAAAGTTGCCCGCCATTTTACCCGTCGCGATTCCCTGTTTCACCGCGAACGGCCAGTCCCTAGGAATTGTCGGTCAGATTTCGGCCACAATTGGCATTGGCGACATTCAGTTGTTGGGTCCATTATTCATTTCCAAATCTTTAGTCGTACCCTGTCTGTTAGGAACCAATTTCCTAGGTAGAATGCCGCTCAAAAATCCTGGTGGATCAGGGCTGCATTGAGTTGCCGCCGGGCCGTCGCGTAGCTTTCTTATCAACAACCGGCTCCCGATGGGATTGCACTCAGCCCCGGCCACATTCCAACGGCTGATGGAGCTAGTGCAAGCGGGCCTACAATGGGATGCGTGTTTGATTTATATCGACGATGTCATCATGTTTGGACGCATGTTCGAGGAGTTTCAGCCGCAGAAGTGCCATCTGCTGCAGAGATCGGTCAAATACTTAGGCCATATTGTCGGCGAATCCGGGATTTCGACGGACCCCTGACAAAACTGCGTGTGTGCGCACGTGGCCAACCCCCAAGTTGGCGGGTGAGGTATGTAATTTTGTCGGGTTCGCCTCTTATTATCGATGCTTCGTTCCCGAATTCGCCATGATCCTCACGGCCAAGGGCCAGAAATTTCGGTAGGGGGTGGAGGAGGAGGCTGCATTTGCCGCGCTGCGCGACAACCTAGTGAACGTGCCTCCCCTTCGGTACCCTGATTTTTCTTTGCCTTTTGTCCTCGATACTGACGCTAGCAATACTTGTATTGGCACCATTTTGTCACAGGTGGTGGACGGAGTAGAGTGCGTGGTCGCATACGGCAGTAAGGTGCTTTCTACGGCCGAGCAACGCTATTGCGTTACACGCCGTGAGTTGCTGGCGATTGTTTATTTCATTCATCAGTACCGGCCGTACCTCTATAAATGGAAATTCCAGGTGCGATCAGACCACGCGGCCTTGCAGTACGCGCTGCGTGTTGAGCAGTCATCTGGCCAGCTGTCCCGTTGGCTCGAGGTCGAGGTCTCGTATAGAAAGGGCATCCGCCACTCGAATGCTGACGCGTTGTCACGTCTGCCAACCAGTGACAAGTGTGCGTACACATCGGGCGCGGGACGGTGCAGGCCCACCAATTCGGCTCCGCCCCGGGAGGTCGTCGCTGCGGCCGATGTCGCGCACACGGACACAGCTGACGCATGTGACCACACGCTCGGTCTCTCCAACTCCGAGTGGGGGTGATTCTAGGCCGAGGAAGCCTCATTGTTAGCCATCAGACGCCGGGTTTGCGACTCCACAGAGGGCGACAGCCAACGACCACGTTGAGAAGCAGAATTACTAAAGTATAACGTCGTGGTTCCCACCATCCTGCGGGGTAGGTTGGTTTGGGCAACGCACGGACGTGTTATGCATTTAGGGGTCGCGAAAACCCTGTCCACCCTCCGCCTGAACTTCTTCCAAAATAGTGCTTAGAGGGTGCACCACATGTGCCCGCCGGAAACCTCCACCGAAATTGGCGTGCCGCCCCCTCTCCAAACCATTAGTGTATTGCGGATGAATGAGCTCGTTGCGCTCGATATGCTGGGTCCGTTCCCCAGCCACCCCGCGGGGTAACAAGTATCTGCTCGTGGGGGTAGAGTATCTTTCTCGGTGGCCAATGGCCTGGCCTGGTGCCGGACCAGTCGGCAGCCACCATTACGGACGCCTTTCTCCACGGGTACGTTCTGGATAAGGGGGCCCCAGAACGCCTCCTTACGGACCAGGGCAGAAACTTTTACGTCAAAACTGCTTAAGTAGGTGTGTGACCTATTGAGCACTAAAAAGATCCGCACCTCGCCCTATCATCCGCAGACCGACGGCATGGTAGAGCGCCTACATAGGACGCTCACATCCATGCTATGCCATCAGGTTAACCAACAACAGACCGACTGGGACTTGCATGTTCCAGGGGTCCTGGCCGCATGTAGATTGGTCGGAAGCGGTGCCTTGATTGGACGAGCTAAGGGCACGTGACCGGGAGCGGGGGTCCCATGGTAAGAACACTGCTCTAGAACACCCTCCAGCGGCCCGTGCAATCAACTCCTGCCACCTCTCCCTTCTCCGCTCTCTCTGCAGCGTAGATGCTACAAAACTCCACATTGTATTGACTCGCAACCCCATACACTCAGGAGACCCATACACTTAGCTCCACAGACTTAGAGACCAGCAGCCCAGACAGCCAGACCCACAACACCCACAGACTCACAGAGAACCCCCACCCCCCCAAACTTAGAGACCCATTTCAGAATGTTTAGACTGGAGAAATGAGATGAGCTTTGAAGCTATTTTTCCCAGATGTTCAGTCGGGGCAGGTCAGCAAGTTGTGAACAACAAATACTAAAAACGATAGGAGTGCAAAATAATAGAAGAGGTAAATAACGAATAATAAATAAAACATATTAAGTAAATTCTAGATTTGAAGCTTTCGTGACTGCAAGGATTCATATTCTTAGGGTTTTTCGGTAAAGTCACGTAGGTAAAAAATGTAAATTAATAAAAATAAAATAAAAATCACGACGTTTCGTGCTGTGACGGTTCCAGCTGAAGACGGAAGCTTGTGCTGCCTCCGAAACGTGATTTTTATTTTATTTAACTTTTAGTAATTTTTTTACCTACGTGACTTTACCGAAAAAACCTAAGACGATGTTAAGTAAAAACAGTAAGTACAAATTGCATGAGTGGTGTACACACAACGCAGCGAGCAGCCTCTGCCCAACTCGCATTGGCCGTGGCCGTGAATTGAACTTGGCAGCCCACGTGACCTCATCTGTCCCACGTGCCCCTCCCCTCGCGTCGAGGGCAGCACCGTGACCCCCCCCATCAGACGCACGCCCCCCCTCCCGTCCCCTCGCCCCCCCCTCGCCCCCCCTCCCACCCCCGCGCCCCCCCTCCCGCCCCCCCTCCCACCCCCGCGCCCCCCCCCTCCCGCCCCCGCGCCCCCCCTCCCACCCCCGCGCCCCCCCTCCCGCCCCCCCCCTCCCGTCCCCTCGCCCCCCCCCTCCCGTCCCCCTCGCCCCCCTCTCCCGCCCCCTCGCCCCCCCCCTCCCACCCCGCTCCCCCCTCTCCCGCCCCCTCGCCCCCCCCCTCCCACCCCCGCGCCCCCCCCCCCTTCGGTCCCCTCTCTCCTATTCAACCTCCTATTCCCCCATTCCCACCAGCGCCCCCCCCTCTTACACCCTCCCCCCCGCGACCCCCCCTCCTACCCCCCCTCCTATCCCCGCCTCGCACCCAGGCCCCCACCCACGTCCCCCCCGCACCCACCCCCCCGCACCCCCCCCCCGCATCCCAGGTCACATGGGCTCCACGGCGTCTTCATAGCCCGCCCTCCTCCACTCGTTCCCCACCCCTGCCTCACGTCACGTGACTGCGAGCCCCCCTCCTTCGCCGCCCCTCACCCTGCCCCCCCACCCACCCAAGCCGCTCCGTGTCACGTGACTTCCCCCCCTCCTGCCCCCCACCCCACCCAAGCGAGCCCACCACCCAAGCCGCTCCGTGTCACGTGACTTCCCCCCCCTCCTGCCCCCGGTTCCGGGGGCTCGAGCTGCGTCTCCCCACCCCCCTCCTCATGGAGTGTCACGTGACCCACCGAGCCCCCCCCTCCCCGTTTAAGATCACGTGACAACCCCTATCAGACACCCCACCCCCTTCGACCGGTGTCACGTGACCGTCGCGTCCCCCCCCCGGCCCCTCCCCTTGCGGACCCCCCCCCCTCCCTCGAGTCACGTGAGCGTCGTGCGGGTCCCCCCCCCCCTCTTTTTCGAATGGCGCTGAACAAGTGAAGCAATCGCCACCGTCTGCCGATTCAATTCATCCCCCACCCCTCCTCTCTTCACACACACGAATGGCCACTAAAGTCGCCACGATGCTTGCCGCTGCTGCTGCTGCCCCCGCAGCAACGGCGCCCAGCCGGGTGAGAGGCGACGGAGACGAGCGGAGGAGCTGCGCCGGCGACAGCGGCGAGCAGCCGGCGGCGGCGGCGACTACGGCCTCTACCCGGGAAGGAGGCGCGACCCCGGGCAGGGCTGCTCAGGCGAGGCCGCAGGCTGCACGAGGAGCCGCAGGCCGCGCCCCGGGAAACCCGTGGGGCGAGACGCGTACGTCCTTTGCACCTTCTGCTGCTGCTGTTGCTGCTTGTTCCTGCTGCCCTTCCCCTCCTCTTCCTTCCCACCGTCTCCTTCTTCACGGCGTTGACGTTAATCACGGCGGTTACTTTGAGTGTGGCGCGTGCGAATTGTTTGTGTTTTACCGCCGAGATGACAACCACTTTGAGCCCGTGACTTCTAGCAAGTAAGATGTTACAGCGCTGTAGCACAAGCGTGGACAGGTGGGAAGGCTTGCGAGCTGTTGACGAGGCAGAGCAATGTGAACACGTGGATTGGAGAGTACAACAACAACAACAAGAACCGCCATTCGCCACGAAGTGGCGGTGACATTACCACGGCGCTCGTGCCAGGCTAGGTGCACGTTAAGGCCACGTGAAGGGTCGAACGCCCGCTGGCAAAGAGGTTACGTGATAGACCCTGCAGGTGCAATGGGTCGACTGGCTGATGCACCACCAGTGCCCCCTACTGTGCCAGGCTAGGTGCAGGAGGTCACGTGACAGACCCTGCAGGTGCAATGGGTCGACTGGCTGATGCACCACCTGTGCCCCCTACTGTGCCAGGCTAGGTGCAGGAGGTCACGTGACAGACCCAGCAGGTGCCATGGGGTCGACTGGCAGATGCACCACCTGTGCCCCCTACTGTGCCAGGCTAGGTGCAGGAGGTCACGTGACAGACCCTGCAGGTGCCATGGCTCGACTGGCTGATGCACCACCTGTGCCTCCTACTGTGCCAGGCTAGGTGCAGGAGGTCACGCGACAGACCCAGCAGGTGCCATGGGGTCGACTGGCAGATGCACCACCTGTGCCCCCTACTGTGCCAGGTTAGGTGCAGGAGGTCACGTGAAGACCCTGCAGGTGCCATGGCTCGACTGGCTGATACACCACCTGTGCCTCCTACTGTGCCAGGCTAGGTGCAGGAGGTCACGCGACAGACCCTGCAGGTGCCATGGGGTAGACTGAGACGACTGGCCGATGCACCGCCCGTGCCCCCCTACTGTGCCACCTTGCTGCATGTTAGCCACACACGCACCGTGATAGGCCGCGTGTCACGAGAAGTGTTTGACGGTGAGCCCAACAACAATAATAGTTAAAATAACGATGACATTTATAACGCGCCAGATGTTGCAGACAAGTCAACACCTCGGACAAAGTCAACAACTGGGACGAGTCCACACCTCGGGAGGCGGTGGAGCCAAGCCTCAGGGCTGCTCGCGAAGCTTGGCCCAGAGGCACAGAGAGAGGCCTTTCAGACGCTTGTTGAAAGAAGTCCGACTGTATTTGATGTTGCGGATAGCGAGCTGCAAACGGTATAGTGTATAGTGTAGTATAAAGTGGTGTAGTAGTGTAGTGTATAGTGGTGCAGTGTAGTAGTGTAGTGTGTAGTGTATAGTAATGTATAGTATATTAGTGTACTGTGTAGTTTATAGTGTATAGAGTAGTATATAGTGGTGTAGTAGTGTATAGTGTATAGTAATCTGTAGTATACTAGTGTATAATAGTTTACAGTGGTATAGTGTGTAGTTTATACCAGTGTATAGAAGTGCAGTATATAGTAGTGTGTAGTGTATAATAGTGCATAGTAGTGCAGTATGTAATAGTGTATAGTGTAGTGTATAGTGATGTGAGGCTTTGACAGTTCAAAACCTTTTGGTGTCCCGAAGCAGATGCTGGAGTGACGCTGTTCTGTGTAGGGGTTCTATGCCCTGAGCCTTCAGTACAAGGCGAGAGTAGTGGGGCGAGGTGTGAATGGTGGGGGAACCTGTGGTCTAGGGAGGCGCGATGACAAAGGAAAAATGAACCTCCGATTAGCACGGCGGGCTACGTACGGTGCGAAAGAAGTGCACCGCACACGCGTGCCAGGAAAGGGTCGTCATGATGCGCGGCAGAGCCTTGAGAGATGGCCGACTGAGAAGTGCCTGACGTGTTGTGTGTCTATCATCAGGTGGTCGTGTAGTGCTTATTCACACCACCACCACCATCATTCTCATGCACAGTAACATCTGCTGGTTATAACATTATAAGTGCTCCATAGAGAGCACTTTGTTTCCACTTCTCTCTCCAGCAATCTATAATAAGGCCACAAAAAGGAGGGGATGCTTCCGCAAACAAAGTGTGCGGCAGCGCTGTCTATTTGTTGTGCCTGCGCCGGATTGCGCCCTGCCTCGTTAGGTCTCGGGAAGCGAAAGAGGTTCTTGCTGCACGGGTCAGGTTGTTGTAGGCTGCTACTGCTGCTGTTGGTGGTGGTGGCTACGTGGCATGCAACAGATGGGACAAAAAAAAACCCCCAAAATCGTTGTCCTGTACTTTATATGTTCCTAGGTTCATGCTCCCCCCCCCCTCTCGCACACCACCTTCACCACACACCGCATTGAGCAGCGTGGTGAAGTATGGTCGAATGGCGATGGCATTTTCTAGCAGTGGATTGACACGAGTACTGTATGTGTACTGGACAAAATGGGTTCGATCGCGTGAATATTAAATGCGTGGTTAAACCTGCCACCACCCGACACGGCCAATTTGTAAGGTTTGTCACGTCAATAAAAGTTGCCAATTCGTTACTCCAGTAACTAATTGTGTGTTGGAGTGAACTCCATTGTGGATAACATTTGTCGCAAAAGCCTACGTGTGAAGATGAATGTTCACATGCACAAGTACTGAAACCGTGTTTCTGTCAACCGATGCGTGTGTGATACCGCTGCATTTCTATTTTTATGCTTTTCAGTGTGTGTACAATGCGTGTATGCGCTCCAAAACATTCGCCAGTGAGCAAATGTTCCCACCCTTATCAGTGAAAGCGGCGTGATTCCATGAATGGGTTAAATATAAACTGTGCAAGTTGGGTGCGTTCCCATACTCCTCCTGCATCAGGTGCCCTGGCATGGCCCTGGCACGCTGGTTGGTGCACACGCCAGCACCGTTGATCGGTCCACAGATTGCCGGAGTCATCAATTTTGCCTTTGTGCGTTGCGTGTTAATAGCCAACAGTGAAATGAAGTCCATACTACTAGAGTTTTTTTGGGTTAGGTCGCGTAAATATAAATGTGTCGTTAAATCCACCACCACCCGACATGCCAATTAGTAAGGGTTGTCACGTAAACAGAACATGCCAAAAATAAAAAGATCACGGTGTTTCGATCGCAACACAAGCAATCGTCGTCAGGTGAAAAAATAGCGAGAGAGCTGCTGAGGCAGGATTTTATCAAGGTTTGAGATGGGTGTAGCCCAACTGTCATAAGCCAAGTGGGAGGGGCTAGTGAAGAAATTTGCATGTAAATGTAAGATCGGAGAGCTGGGCTACCTCCACGACGAAGCTGCAGAGGTGGCCATTGTATACAATGTATACTGCGGAGGTGGCCATTGTATACAATGTATACATTTCTGAAGACGGCTGCTTGCGTTGTAGCCGAAACGTCGTGAGAATTATTTGATTTTATTATGTTTTATTTTTATTATTTTATTACTTCCCTTCTACGTGACTTTACCGTAAAGAACCAAGAAAATGTATACATTGTATGCAATGTATACATTGTATGAATTCCTGCAGTCACGAAAGCTTTAAGTCAACATTTATAATCTGAGTACGACATTTCACCATTAATTCTCAGATGGTAAATGTTGTGGATTTGCTCTCCAACACACCAGTGTGCTGTACTAGTATCGAATTGGCATGTTCTGTTTACTTGACAAACCTTACTAATTGGCTGTGTCGGGTGGTTGCGGGTTTAAAAGACACATTTATATTTACGCGATTACCCCCCTCAAAAAACCTGTATTTTGGATGATATTGCTCGCGAAAGCCTACGTGTTAAAGTAAAATGAAGGAATTACTGTTTTGTTCCGTCAAAGCTATCCAATGAATGGCAGGTTAATAGAAACCAACTTAAAAGAAAGTTATTATCCAGTAGCAGAGGAAACAAGAGGTCTCAGTGTTTCAGCCGACAGGCCTCTTCTGAAGGAGGCAGCATCTTGCACGTCGATGCTTTGGTGTTTTTATTTCCCAATTTTAATAAATGTTTTACCTCGTATGTACGTATGTACGTTAAACTTCTTTCGTGCCGTACGTATCCAACCGTGCTTATGCACATTGCGTCATCGCCGTTACATTGATGGAAATTATTTCACACCGTGCGTAGCCAACCGTGCTTCGGCACATTGCCTCATGGCCGTTAGGTCTTTGGAACTTCTTTCGCACCGTACGTAGGCAACCGTGCTTGGGCACATTGCGTCATCACCATTACCAGATCAGATATCCATGTCTCGCAGAGCAGGGTGAGACCCTTCGTGGTAAACAGATGCCTTCAAGGGCGCTCGGTTCCACACAGAACTTCTTTCGCACCGTACGTAGCCAACCGTGCTAATCTGCCACTGAGGGTAACGTTCGTGACACGGCAGTCAAACTGATACTTTGGTTTGTGGAGGTGGAATGTAGCCATGTTCAGTGGAGAATAAAACGTCACGTGATTTTGCGTTGTTGTTGTGCAATCGTTGGTGACTGGGCTAAGACCATCAACTCTCTACACTTAAGAGCCCATTTGAATGACAAGCGGCTTGCCTGGGTTTTAACTCAGGTTCTCAGCAGTGCTTTCTCGGCGCTCTTGAGCCACGAGGTCACCTCCACCGTGGTGGTTTCACATACTCGTGTCCACTTCTTCTGAATGTACGTAACCCCTTCCCGTTCCGAGACGTCTGCAAGTTGCAGGGTGTCCCGTTCACCGCTGAATCTCGGAACGCTCGAGCGGATCGGCGTTAATTTTACTTATAAAGACAATCGTACTCGCCGTAGAGAACCATAGCGACGCGACCGCTCTCCACGACAGCTGGCGCCAAACTGTGCCACACGCCCTCCCGCGTGGCCTCGTGGGGAGCCAAACTAAAATAAAAAAATGTTTTATTGGTATGTCTTCAGGTTGGATGACGTGCTGATAAAGTTTCTTCAGTTTTTCTTCCGATTTCGTTTGGATGACGCATACATACGGATACGTCATCAGAACG